AGTCTACCAGATGGGCGGGAAATAAATAAATAAATAAATAAATAAATAAATAAATAAATAAATAAATAAATAAATAAATAAATAAATAAATAAATAAAAAGTGAAACCCTTTGTAGATATTTCTTTCCTGCCCAAGGTTGTCTCATAGTTTCACCTATTCCAACCCTTGATTCTCCCTTCTTTCTTTCCTTCTCTGTATAATCCTCAAGAAAAGATTCTCCATACATTGAATGTACGATGGGTTCTGGCTTTCAACATAGCCCACACTCAAACCTTCAGATGCTCAGCTAGACTTTTTGTCAGCTATCACCTTCCTGTAAGGTCTCCAAGTTACCTCACAGAGAATATCCAAGTAAATTGCATCTCCCATCCAGCTTGTTCATCAGCTCGCTCGAGTTCCAGCGCCACTAGTGCATGTGATATCTACGGCATTTCTTCGAGAGATCCCCCTCACTGACGTCTGTGCCTCTGCCACATGGTCACAGCCATTTACATTTATCAGTCACTATCAATTGGACATTCAGCAGAAATCTGGTGCTGCTTTTGGGCATGCTGTATTATCATCTACCTTGGTGTGACACCCTCCAGGTGAGGTAGCTTTTTAGTCACCCACAGTGTGATTCACAGAGGCCACAAAGAAGAAGAACAGTCTACCTACCTGTAATTGTAGTTCTTCAAATGGACCTCTGTGATTCACACATCCCGACCTGGCCTCCCCACTGTCATGCCCTTTTCTTTATGTGGCAGTTGACTGAAAGGAGAGCCTTGACACCAAGGTACATATACCGGGGGGGAGGGGTCTGCACTAATGCATCTTTTTGCTACCGTAGAAGATCTAGAATATTCTGACGAGGCTCCGCACATGCGCGGATTACCCACAGTGTGAATCACAGAAGTCCACTCGAAGAACCACAATTACAGGTAGGTAACCTGTCAATCTCCATTTGCAGGAATGGCATTCCCCATTCCACCCTGGAGATTCAGTAGCACACAAAAAAAGCCATAGTAGCAAATCAGTTAAAAATATCCCACCAACACTGGAGGGTGAATCTTGTTATGATCTGTGTGCTGTTACTCAGGCACAGACCAAAAGTATTGCAGGGAGGGGGGCCAGTGTCTAGTCTGCATCAAAACAAATCAATTTAAAGCCTGCTAAAATAGAACCATCTAGAATGCCTGCTTGGAACCTGTCAATAAGGGGATTCCTCAGCCCCTGCTGGGGGACATTTCTGCAACTGTGATGGTGCCATTAATGTCATACTGCATGTTTCACATGGTTTTGAATAGTTGAAGAAAAATGATAACACTCCAGCCTGAAGTTATTGAAGAGAGTACAGCCACACATCTTCCTAAATATTAGTCTAGTTTTGTATGAAATCATGTTGCTTAGCATAGTAAATCACACTTAGAATAGATTTGTTGCTTTGGTAAGTCAGCTCCATAACTATTAATTCAGTAGGCCTGCTGTACTTGTGACTTAGTGCACAAAGTAACAGGATTCTTAACTGAACTCCTGCAGTTTCCAATTGGCAATATGGAAATGGTGACCAGTTATCCTAATCTCCATCGTAAAGGGAAAAGCTTTAGCTTATCTCAGAGGATTATCAGGGCTCTCTGATCTATTCTGTGTTCCTTATGCAATTGGCTGGGAAGGAAATTGCAACAAGGAGCTGGATTTACCAGTAGGAAAAGGCTCCTGGCAACTATCTCCCTCCTCTGAAACTTTCTATGCTCTCTTTTTTTATGTTGCCCATTCTTGGCAAACCCCTTCCTTTAATATAATGTCACAAAGCTTCATTTCCACTCCACTGGGAAGCAGAACCTAAAGTTACCTTACCTTTATTTGTTCAGAGATAACCACCACCTTGAATCAGACCAAAGATGTACACTTGTAACTTTGTTTTATTGAGTGCTATTCTGAAGTCATGAAACCCAGCCTCCTCCCTTCTACAGATGTGAAGGTGGGAGCCCAAATGATCATGCAGAGTTGCATGGGCATGGGGCTCCTGCCAAACTCTGTATTCACTCTAGAACATTGATCCCCAACCTTGGGTCTCCAGATGTTCTTGGATTGCAACACTGAGAAATCCTGGCCAGTACAGCTAGTGATGAAGGCTTCTGGGAGTTTTAGCCCAAGAACATCTGGGGACAAAGTTCCCCGTCGTGTTTGTTAGTGACAATTAAGTTCCCAACCACTGATTTTAAATATTTTGTATATGTTTGAAAAGAGAAGATCTGAGTTGAGCGGAGGCTTTCCCCCAAGCTCTTTATTTGTCATTTCCTTTTTCTATAGTTTGTGTGTGATTTCCTTGAGAAGGCCCCCTTGACACTGCAGACATTATGTCTCCATCAGAATCTAAGTGTTCTTGTTTTGTTCATCCTACTGTGATATTTAGTTTTCCCTGCTTTTTTGCCATTTGAAAACTCTCATAATGAGACAAAGAACATCTTACATGAAAAACAGAACCATTCAGTTGATGAGAGCTGTACTAGAATCATCCAATTCAGATTTAGTCTAGCACCTAACATCTTTTCCTCCTCCCCCTTTTGTACCTTTCATGTGTAATGTTCACATTTGAGAAGTTAAAAAAAATGTAAATTGCTGTTACATATGTATGATTATTTGATTTCAAATAGGCACGGAATCATTACGCTGCAGGCTTTTTCCGAATCCAACAGAAAGCTGTGGTTGGAAGCTATGGACGGAAAAGAACCAGTAAGGAAATATTATGTTCTGTAGGTGTTGGTTGGATCTGGGTTTGGTTCTGAGGCAAAGAATTTAAAAAGGACGCTGTAATTTTTAAGAATAATTCAGTTTATTTATTTGTTTTATTTCATTCATTTGTACACCGCCCAGTTTGTGCAAAAGCACTATTCTGGGCAGCTAACAATAAGTTAAAACCAAAGGTTTTAGCTAATAGTTAAGAGAAATTCAAAGTTATAGAGCAAAGAAATAGTTTATTGCTCTAAGTGTCTATGTACAGAGAGAGAGAAGACTAAATCCACTCTAGCCTTGCCTAGATGACACTCACTGAAATTATTGACATTTCTTAGTCACAATTAATATACGCCCTTTTTATCTCAATGACTCTATACTAGAGTGGGCTAAGATTTAGCCTTGACATAGGGAGACAGAAACCAATGTAGATACAAAGAAGAGGAAGCAGGAGAGCTGTTGTTGACCACAGCTGAACAAACTGAACATACTTCACAATTGCTGGGGCCCTGTAAGCCCAGCCTTTACGTGTGACAAATCACTCTAGTGACCTGCTAGTGTAGCACTTGATGCCAGGCAAAGAGCTGCTGTGGAACGTAAGACTTGTAACACGCCATTCCTAGATACCAAATAAGCACTTTAACTTCAGTGTGACACCTATTCCCATGCCCCAGCAGGTTCATAAATACTTTCCATATGCCACGCATCTGAGGAAATGGTCTGCAGTCCACAAAAACATACATGTTTTAGTCCTTTAGATAGGTATAACACCCATAGAAGTCTGTGGGCTTAGTCTCTCCTCCTCTAGTTTTCCATCTGACATCATAGAGTTCTGATGAGAATAAACTAGGATACTCTTGTCTGAAGGTTAGCAATGCACATATGATGAGTATGTGAGGATTTTTATGACACAACATATTTTTTCCTGCAGCCTGTGTATGAATTGATACGTGGGTTTGGACCTGTTTATGAGTAATCTGGTGAGAAAGGCCAGATTACTCATAAACATGTTTAAACTTGCTTGTCGGTTCAGGTATAAGTTGCAGAGAAAATGTGACATGTCATAGAAATCCTCCCCCTAGTGATCAGTCTGAATGCAATATAATCCATTTTCTTTTTTAGATTTACACTTTGCCAGCTATTATAAGCAAGAAGGAAGAAAGTAAGTTTATCTTTAATTATGGGAAAATTTATTCTAGTTTAATGAATTATATTAATTGAATAACATTAATTATATTAATCATATAAATTTAGTTAATTATATTTTCTAATCTGTCTTTGGCCCTTTAGAAATAAAGCAGAAGAGTAAGAAGTAATTATAATATGTGAAAACTATATAATATATGTATATTGATAAAATTGTACTCAGTGATAATCCTGATGACAATTTAACATGTAGGACAAAGTATCTTGCTTTGCATGGCATGGTAGGATTCTGTTACTTACTCTGTTTTTTTCTAAATACTATTGCTGAACTCCTATAATAAATCAAATTTGTAGGGTTTTTAAAATTAGGTTAAAAGTATTGTTAATATTGTAGTCAATATTAAGATAAGTTAGGTTAATATTGTTAATACTAAGATAAGTTGTGTTCCAGTAATCATTTTGTTTTGCTTACTGAATTGTGACTGATATTGCAAGTGCTGGTTATTTTTTCCCCTCCCTTTTGATAGTGTTCCTAAATGAAGCTGGTTTTAACTTCGTAAGAAAATGTATTCATGCAGTGGAAACAAGAGGTATGTATTGTGCATATATGTGTTCGAAAAATAAACTTTATGATGCTTTGAGGGGCATTTACCTGTTTACACTTGGGGAACTGTGGCCAGTTCCATCACATCTGATCCTATATGGTTTGTAAAGTTGCTACCTTGGGAAATTTGTTGTTGTTTAGTTGTTTAGTCGTGTCGGACTCTTCAGTGACCCCATGGACCAGAGCATACCAGGCCCTCCTGTCTTCTACTGCCTCATGGGGTTGGGTCAAATCCATGTTGGTAGCTTCGATGACACTGTCCAACCATCTCGTCCTCTGTCGTCCCCTTCTCTTGCCTTCACAAAGTAGCCATCAGGAAAAGCTAAACATCCAAACCTCATCCATTTCTGTTCACATGTGTCTCATCCCAGCCCCACAAAGGTAAACAGATAGGGGTCTGTTCATTCCACATGCAAGTGCACCACTTCCACCCTTTTCAGTGACTGGATCTTTCTGTTCAACAAATTATTCAATTTGGGGCATGTAATCATGTTGAGAAAAACTACGCAACTTCAGTGTTGATAATGAAGCAGTTGAAACTGTTGAAGACTTTGTATACCTTAACCCTTTTCAGTGACTGGATCTTTCTGTTCCACAAATTATTCAATTTGGGTCATGTAATCATGTTCAGAAAAACTACGCAACTTCAATGTTGATAATGAAGCAGTTGAAACTGTTAAAGACTTTGTATACCTTGGTTCAGTCATAAATCTAAATGGAGACTGCAGTGAAGAAATCAGAAAAAGACTGATATTCAGAAGGACCGCAATGAAGGAACAAGAAACGATTATCAAGTGAGGGGATGTGTCACTGGAGACCAAAGCCAAGATCATTCACACTATCGTATTTCTAATTTGAGTGTGGGTGTGAAAGCTGGACAATAAAGAAGGCTGACAGGGGAGAAAAAATATTCATTGCAATACTGGCTGGACAAGAGCTTTGAGGATACCCTGGACTGCCAGAAAGACAAACAAGTGAGTCCTACAACAAATCAAGCCTGAACCTTCCCTAGAAGCAATAATGACAAACTTGAGATTATCCTACTCAAGAAAACCACATCCTTGAGTTTGCAAGAGCTGAGCAGAGATGTTGAGGATAGATTTTGGAGATCACTGATTCAAAATGATTACCATAAGTCAGAAGCGAGTTGATGGCATGTAACAACGGAAATCATTAATTTATTTGGCAGCAAAGTTCCATGGTGTTTACTAACATTGACTGAAAAAGTGAAGTGTGTTGCTTATATACTGCTTAAAGCACGTCAGAAGCGAGTTGATGGCATGTAACAACAGAAATCATTTTTTGGTTTAAATTTATTTGGCAGCAAAGTTTCATCCCAAAGAAAAGGAAATGCAAGAAAGCAAAGTGGCTGTCCAATGAGGCAAAAACGGTCTGAAACTTACAAATAGCAGAGAAGAGACGGGAAACAAAATACAAGAGAGATAGGGAAAGTTACAGAAAATGGAATGCAGACTTCCAAAGAATAGCAAGGAGAGACAAGAGGACCTTCTTAAATGAACAGTGCAAATAAATAGAGAAAAATAATAGAAAGGGAAAAAATAGATCTGTTCAAAAAAAATTGGAGATATCAAAGGAACAGTTTGTGCAAAGATGGACATGATAAAGGACAAAAAACAGAAGCAGAAGACATCAAGAAATGGTGTCAAGAATACCCAGAGGTATTATACCAGAAAGATCTGGATGTCCCAGACAACCCAGATAGTGTGGTTGCTGACCTTGAGCCAGACATCCTGGAGAGTGAAGTCAAGTGGGCCTTAGAAAGCATGACTAACAACAAGACCAGTGGAGGTGATGGAATACCAGTCGAACTATTTAAAATCTTAAAAGATGATGCTGTTAAGGTACTCCACTTAGCATGCCAGCAAGTTTGGAAAACTCAACAGTGGCCAGAGGATTGGAAAATATCAGTCTACATCCCAGTCCCAAAGAAGGGCAGTGCCAAAGAATGGTCCAACTACCGCACAATTGCACTCATTTCCCACGCTAGCAAGGTTATGCTCAAAATCCTCCAAGGCAGGCTTCAGGAGTATGTGGATCGAGAACTCCCAGAAGTACAAGCAGGATATCGAAGGGGCAGAGGAACTAGAGACCAACTTGCTAACATGCGCTGGATTATGGAGAAAGCCAGAGAGTTCCAGAAAAACATCTACTTCTGCTTTATTGACTATGCACAAGCCTTTGACTGTGTGGACCGCAGCAAACTATGGCAAGTCCTTAAAGAAATGGGAGTGCCTGACCACCTTATCTATCTTCTGAGAAACCTGTATGTGGGACAGGAAGCAACAGTTAGAACTGGATATAGAACAGCTGGGTACTTCATTTACTGACCTTGAAAGAATGGAAGACTACGTGAACCTCAAGCCAGCAACCTGGGATTGGTTGTAAGCAGAGTTTTGGCTGCAGTACTGCAATTTTAACCTCTGCACCGTGAGGCACAAATGTACAATAAACTAAAATGGCATAGAAGCAATTAGTAGTTTCTTGTGCTCCTGAAATATATACCATTTTAAAAGCGAGCTTTTAGATGCTGAGAAAGTTTTAAATATAAACCTTTTGTATTTGAAAATACTGGTTTGTGAAACCTCCATTTACTTTAAGAAAAGTTTTTGTGATCAGAGTACAAAGTGAGTACAGTAGATGAAAGCTTTCTGTTCTGAGGTGTCTGTTTGAACAAGACAAACCGACAACAGCAGTGCTAAAAATGGTGGAAATAAAAATCTGAGCATAACAAGAATTTTATCTTAAAGCATAGCACTGTGACTTTAAAAGGAGGCAAATAAAGCTTTACACCATGTACTATGCATACAGTTTGAAAGTAAACTGTGTTCGGTGGAAATAGTTCTCAATTAAGTGTTTATACTGTTGCAGTCATGCAGCCCAGTTCATGTCCCTGTTTATTTATAAGTAAACTACTGTGTCTTCTGGTTAGGTATGCATAGGATTACAGTCTTCATGGGATACCTCTGTGTGTACCAAGCAGAAATAAGAGAGAGATAGTTTCTAAAACATGTATATTAAAAATGCAGTTGCAAATTCCAGACTTCATAGTACAGCTCTATAAATAATGAAATAACATCAAATAAATACATATGAATGGAGAAACATAACTCTGTTCCAGAACGGATTCTCACTATGTTATGTTCTGGGTTTTTTTTTCCCTTTGAAGGCATCACAATCTTGGGGTTGTACCGAATAGGTGGTGTAAACTCCAAAGTTCAGAAGCTAATGAATACTGTGTTTTGTAAGTATGGCAGTGCTATGTGAGTATTTTGTCTGGAATGCACCAACCTGCACCGCATTGCTTTGTCAGTTCACTTACCACTGTGTATTTGCTGCTTGAACATACCGGCAAGACTAGATAGGCCAGGTAGTTTGAAACCATTGTTACTTCATCATTTTTAATGGTAATGGGCAGGTTTTAAACTAAGGGGAGACCCACATTGCAGATGTTGTTAATTATTCAGTCTAAGGAGAGGTGCAGCTAAAGGTAGGGATGGATTACCATTTCATTTTGGTCTAGGTTTTGTTGATAAATCTAACAAAATTCACAACTGCTGTTCATGTTTGGATGAAAGCACTTGAGAAGTGCCCCCCCTTTAATTAAGATGGGGACGGGGGGGAAAACAACTTGAAAAGCTAGCCCATTTAACATGCATATTCTTTTCAGGTCTGTCTTTGAAATCATGTCCTAAATCCAGTTGTTAATCCCAACAGTCAGTTGGCCAGTGTGCCTAATTGTTGATTTACAAAATTCCCATTGATTCAGTAGATCTACTCTAGTTGGAATCACCAACTAGAGTTAGACCCTTGTATATGCAGCCATTTTAGTACTACGTCTAGATCTTTTTCTGAGATGGTCCTCATGTTTAAATATTTCATCATCATTCCTTTCAATGATAGAATATTTTTGTTTACTGGACTTGGATACTGGAAATGGATATGAATTTCATTTTGCTTTGTTTCTGAAGATTTCATCAAAATACATACATGTTTTTTTCACACAGAGAACTGAAAGCAGGTTTCAAAAACCTGAATGTAGAAGAAAGCAAAACTGGAGGTCCTACACATCTCTAGCCAAAGGACTTTCTAAAATTCTCCTTTCCTAGACTGAACATTAGCAGTGGGTTTGATAGACCTGTTCTGTATCTTCACTCTTCCATCTTATTTTATATGTGCAACTTCAGATACAAGAGTGAGCAGTCTGTATATGTAACCCTTTATTTGTAAGCTGAGAGTTCACAGAAAACCTCAGTTGCACACAATAACGGATGTTGAAGAGGCACTAGAGTAATCCATTTTTGTCTGAATTTAAAGCTTAATCCTATCAGATTAGCACCTCTGGTCTTAATAGATAACTTTAGCCTAAGCAAAACGTTGTCTAATGGGTGTCCCTCTCTCACCCTGTTACATTTGAGATTTGTGAAAGCCAAAGAGAATCAATTTAACAGAGCACATGTCCCCTATTACTCAATGGCTGGGAATCACAGTAAAGTCTTTATCCCAGCGGATTAGCTGTATAATTTAGAATTTGCAATAGAGCTGGCCTATTTCAATGCTCTGCCTTCAGCTTCTATAGAGGGGAAATATTCACATATCCCCTATGACCAACATTTTTGTTCCTGACAGTCCATTATGGTGGAAACTGTGCAACATGTCCTGTTGTGTTGCGCATATTATAAAAATTCACTCAGTCTACTTAGTTTCCCAATTTTAAAACATTATCCAGGTAGACCTGATAAACATTATATCTCTTTTCTCCTCTCTGATTCATCAAGTGAAACTACAGCTAAGGTTGTAAAATTCTGTGCAGTGACTTGCCTAAGAAGAAAACAGGTGATTAAATCACTGCAGTAATCAGATTTGGAACTCACACTAAACTACAGTTTGAATTTCAATCTGCTTTGTATCGCTTGTAAATACTGGATGATTTGCTATTGTATTTTGGTAGCCTTGTTAGTCTGTGCAAGCATTATAGGTGAAAACAAAATATGTCTGATGAAGTGAACTTGTTCATGAAAGCTCACATTAAAAAAAATTAAAAGCTTTGTAATACATCCCTTTTTAAATTATTTTAAAAAATTTAAAAATACACAATAATATGATAATAATATAACAAACAAAAACAAAACATCAAAAAGAAAATTCAGCGAACCTGTCAATATATATAGCCTACATTTTCTACCCTGTGTTCCCCTTCGGGACTAATTTACCTGTTTGTTTTACTTTATGTTTTGTACCTGTCCCATTTTTATATAGAAATTTATTCTTTCCAGGGATGTAATCTTTCCTTTTCTCAAACACGTGCACTAAAAAAATAAGTTCCTTTAAAATTATTTGTATTCAATATTCCATTTCTAATCTTAATTTCACGTTAGTTTATCGTTAATGGCCATCTGGCACATTTCGTTATACCATTACTCCATATTAATTTGATTATTCTTCCAATTCCTTGCAAATATCAGTCTTGTCTCCATTAGCAGAATAATAATTAATTATTTTCTTCCCCATTTAGTTGATTATTATCAATCCTATTCAACAAAGCTATCATTGGACACTTTTGTACATCGTAAACACCCATAATTTCCAAAATCTCTTTTAAAAATAGTAGAAAAATTCCTTCCTCCTCGTTTCACAAATCCATCACATATGTAAATATGTCCCCTTTTCTTTTTTAAATCTCCAACATAAAGATGGTACTGGCACATTCCTTTTTTTCTAATTAATAGTTTTCCATATTCAGCGAGGGAATAATGCTGTCTTGTCTTCAATCTTCCTTTTAATAGCTCCTAAATCCCCTCCTGATATGGACATTGACTTGGAAGTTTGGGACAATAAAACTATAACGAGTGGGCTAAAGAACTACCTCAGGTGAGTACACTGTGTGGATCCAAATTTTCTAATAACTGTGCCTGCTTGTCATAATGCATACACCATTGCATTGTGTTGGAGCGAAGCAGCCAATATAACATATATGAATAGCTATCTGTCTTGGTTCCTGTGTGCTATAAAGCTGTTCATTTGGGGTGAAACATGTTTAATTTGTAAATTGGTATCGAATGTTCACAGCTCTGGCCAATACATTGCTTTAACTGGTGAATTTGTTTTATCAAAACAGTCCAGCCTTGTTTTCTTTATTA